TGAGCAATCTGATGCAGACAGATTCTGGCATGAAGGAACTCGAGCAAATTTTGCTCAGGTCTAATGGAGAGATGAATAGAGGGGGCCAGACCCCATAATTATTTGGGGGTCAATGGCATGTCTGTGTTTTCTCATGGGAGGAGAACGAGGTGTGCTGACTTCTGGAGTAGTTGATGAGATGCATGGAGCAGAGAGAAAAACGGGACCTGGGTCCACAGGAGACCAACTGAAACAGCTGGAGTGAAACACTGGACCTGTATTTCCTGAACCTTGAGGACATCTGACCTACAGCCAGAGGAAGAAGGGAGACACACTCAGTTCCAGTTTCAAGACACTTTCCAGAATTACAGCTTTCCTACAGATGAACTACATTCACCTCTCTGAATCCGTGAGTGCTCATCCAGGAGCAGACTAAGAACTTGATAAAAACAGCTTGCTTTCTTGCCACAAACAGATACACAAAACTGTTTTGCCAGTTTTCCCATTGGGAAAAAAGGACCCATTTATGACAGTCAGATACTGGCATAAACCAGAGTGGCAAAAGCTCCTTCACAATGCTTAAACAAGACATGGACAAAAGACTTTTTAGTTAACTTTCAAAGACTGATATTACAAACCTGATGTTAGAACTTCAGACTTTGAGAAAGAAACAGAAAGGTTAAAGGGGCATTGAGTCCCAGGCAGGAAATAAAGAAAAAAGATTTAGAATTGTGAGATTGTTCACACTCCACAGATTGTGAGAATATCTTATTGTCTTTTGATTGTACTGTAACTCACCCTAATGTATGTTCATGATGGAATTGTTAATGTATGTAATCTTGCTATATATGTTATGCAATTGTTATTAGATATTAGAAGTCAGAGTTCATTCTAACAGGAATATAATATGTAATTTACAAGCCTTAAGATAAAAGTATGTTTTAGGGAGCAAACTTTAATAAGGTCCATATCAGAGGCACTAGAGACATTACCACAGAGATTTTAAAGGCCATTTTAAACCTTTACATGTCTTCATCCACAGGAGGTTTGCATCCACGAGAGCTGAGATGCTATTCTCCTGGAGGTTTCTTGCTGATTCAGAATGCTTGGAGCGGGACTATGGCCCATCCCCCACTAACCTTATTTGTTGTACAGATCCTGGTTCCAGCCAAAGACGGGTATGGTTTTCCTTGCCTTCAGGGAATCGTAAGATAGAACATGAAGAGTAAAAATTATTATCTGTCTATAAGAACATGGGCTTGTCACCTTGGGGGCTCCCTCCCCTGCA